AATGTATTTTTAATTTTAAGTGATTTTTTATTCTTTTTCTTTTTCTTTCTTTTTTTTTTTTTTTTGGAAATTAAAAACTTTATTAGTACCAAGTCAAGAATTTCTTCAAACCAGATTTTCACATCAACGTAATGAATGAATAAGTTCTGATAATTTGGCTTGGCTCATTTTATATGCTCGATAACCAAATACAAATAAAAGTGCATCGATAACATTTTGATTTTCGCGAAAGTTCACTTGTACGCGCTTTCTGAATTCTGAATTAGGAGATGTGAGTGGCTTAGAAATTTGTTTAACGATACACGTTTCACAATTTTTTTTTTATGAAAACGAGGCTTGAAGAATTGTTGGAAATTCTACATTTAAATAATATATAATTTTTCATTTTTATAATATTATAATAGATATTTGCAACTTACCAAATATAACTCTTATAAATGCCAAGTTGATATTAATACATTCGACCAGCCACTTTTCCCCTAGATTCTCCAAATATATTCCAGACACTACCTCATGCATTTACTACTTCATCCATTTCAATATTTTTTATTTTACTGTTAAAAAAATATAGTCATCTTTCGAAATATTTTATTCATAATATCTCCTTATTTTTTTTAAAAAAAAGAGTTCAAAACGAACGAAATCTGCTGGTTACTTATTTGAAAGTAAAAGTTTTGACTTACAAGTGGTTGAGTCTCCAATACTAAATGAGTTTTGACTTTGCGGATACACCTCCGGCCGTTGATACCCGTAAGGAAAAAGAGAAGGGCAACAAAAAGATCAAGAATAAGGAACCTATTCATAAAGTAAATAATTCAAAGCAAATTAAAAATGACTATAACTCCCACAAGGCTTAGATGGAAGATGTTTATGAATATAAATATGAATTTTAAATTAGGAAATAGTCTACCCAACAACCCTGATTTTCATACAAGAAGATTGGTTCCAAAAATATTTGGTGATGGTGAAGTTTCTTTGATGAAAGGGTATAGGTAGAACAATTAAATATAGTTATCGAAGCAATACTGAAACACAAAAGACAAATCGTGTTATTTGTTTTCAAGTCAGGATAGGTGTTGATATATATTTAGGATATTGATTTCTAGGAAGAATTTATACATAAAATATCAAAATTCATTCCGTTTTATGACGAGCGAAGGACGTCTCAAAAAAAATTCTCATCGCGGAATTTGAAATCTATAGTTGTATTACTTTTGGGATCAATGATGCTTATCAAACAACATCAAATTTTAATCTGAAAATTTTTTATTTTAAATGACTATAAATCAAAAATTTTCTCAAAGACATAATTTTAATGAGATGATTAATTACATTTTTACCAATGATACTTTATGGATTACTAAATCTAAGGATGATTTGTCTAACATTGTTAATATTGCCAACAGCTTTTATGATTTTAATGAAATTCAGGTTAATTGGTTTAAATCAACACTCTTAATTAATAATCAACAACCTGAACTATTAATTATGGTTTCTCTATTACTATTACTCTGAATAAACCTAAAGATAGATCTTGTCAGCCTTTTTGTGCTTGTCAAATCAAATGAAAATATTTTAAATATTTTGAACATTTTCTCATTTTTAAAAAATATGTCAATCTTAAAAAAACTCAAATTATCAATGTTTAATTTGCATACATATGATTTTAACATAGAAACTATAATTGATATAGCAAAGATTTTGCCTAAATAAATATACCATATCAATCTTTTAAAGATTATAGATAGTTTGGTGAAATGTGAAAAATTTTTAGAACATTTTTCAGCAGATCTCAACTATTTTTACGTTGTTGTGATAATCTGTTTGCGCAACTAAATGACTGCACTAACTAACGTTATCAATAATCACCAGGAAAATCGTGATCATTGTTTTCACCGATTTTACTGCTATCACGGTTATCATTGTGATATTCATTTTCATTATTATTACGTTTATCATTATTTTATTTACTATCTTTATTATCATAATTATATTTACTTTCACTATTATATTTATTATCTCTTTATTATAATTGTATTTTATATAAATATTTTGTATTGTCACCTTGGCAAACTAACAAGTTTGAATTGAACAATTAATAAAATATAATCTTAACAACATAAAAACTATATCTTTGCCAATATCTATTTCCTTAAAACATAAATCATCAATAAAGACGACCTGATCCTTCAACTTAAATAAATTTATGTTTATTTCTTTCATAGTTTACAACTTAAACTCCCTATTAGCAAATAAGTTTTGTTATCCTAACGACGTAGTGTTTAAGTTTAACAAGTGGTAATTCCTACCAGGAGAATCTTTATTGAAGATATACATAACAAACTGCTGAAGGACTAGCGAGGTATATGAATTTTGAGAAACTTGAGAGAACTACTTCAGAGTATATAGTTAAGCATTATTTAGATGAACCTCTTAATCGAGATTATATTTGTAATTGGTGTTATCCACCCCCTCTATTCGAAACTTTCTCCAATAGCTTTAAAAATTTTTAAAATTGGTTTAGACGTGAATACTAAGCAGACACCTTTACCTCAAGAACTATCATTGCTTTTAACCTATTTGAATAACTTAGTGGTACTCCTAAATCTGAACATCATAACTCTCACCTAATAAGAGTTATTTACCAGCTTTTTTCTAGTATTCGATATCTTGTTTGACCTTTTTTAACAGACGTAATATATTTATACATACAAGGCATATCCTTCTGAACAAATTGTTTTCAACAACCCATTACCTTATCTATTTCTTCAAGGGTATATATTAAAATCTTATAACAGGACTTAGTAAGGCCTATAGCAGACTGACGATTATTATAATGATTTGTTGCTTCTTCAACACCTTTTGCATCTAACTTATCAATCTCACTCTCTAATTCATCTTCAATCGAATTGAAACAATGATCACAGGAGAAGAAATGAGAGCTAACTTCCAGGAAATTTTTGAAAATGGTGGACAATACTTGACAAATATCAGTAAATGACTTCACAGAAACTAAAACAGAGAAAGATCCACTATTAAAATCGAATATTTTTCAGGAGTTGAAAATGAAGATACTGTAGAATGGCTCACTGCATTTGAAAGAGCTGCAATTATTAATAGATGGACCACTGAAGCACGAAAGAAGGCTTTTGCTGGAGAACACCTTAAGGACGCAGCAGCTGACTAGTTTGATAGTGTTACCACTACCATGAGAGACAGTTGGAATACTGGAACAAATAGGCCAAAATTTCGTGGATTTATTTGAAGCTCGCTTTATTAGTGAGACTAAGAAAAATCAATAGTATCAGGAATTAACTTCTCTGTGACAACAAACTGATAAATCTGTTGATTCATATGCTAATAAATTCAAGAAACTAGTGACTCGTGTGGGATTAACAGATGATGCATAGAAGAAAAGGATGTTTCTTATAGAACTAAATCCTGCTTATACTCCATTAGTCTACTTGTAAAATCTAATTGATTTGGATGCTACTATAAACACTGTGCAGACTATTGAAATCGAATATAATTTTACCTCTGGAAAAGCCTCTAAAGATATTAGCATTATTACAGTTTCTACCCCTAAAAATGTGGTTACCAATGTTGAAGTAGATGAGCTCACAAAGAAATTAGAACAGCTATCATCAACTATGCTAATTTGACGACTGCTCTATAACTCAATCTCAACAGCTCCCAAGAAGGCGAACAGAGCAGAATTATAATGATACTTCTAGGAAACCTAGACAAAATATGTCTTCAATGACTTGGTACAATTGTAACAGAGAAAGACACATAGCTAGAAACTGCCTTCAATCTCGTCAGCAACCAAGGAGAACTGATAGAAAACCTCATTATGATAATACTAGAAACGTAAATCTAGCTGATCAATACTATGAAGAAGAATATAATGATAAGAAATATACTTCAGAGGAATATTATGAGGAAGATGAATATGAAGTCTATTTAAATATTAGATCTAGACCCTACCCAAAAAATGCTATGTCGAAAAACAAAAAAGGACTAGCAAGATTTCAAAATTCACCTAAAACTAAAATAACTATTGAAGAAATAGACATAGAAGAATCAATACCAGAATCTGTAGTTGAACTAGCTAAGATCGAGAAAGTATTGAAAGCACCTAAAAGAAGATTATTATCTGCCTCCATTGAACAACTGAATTTAATGTCTTGACCTATTTGCAAAATTTACCATATGGATTATCAGTAAGACAAGCTGCACATATTATTCAAAATATCATTCTGGTTTAGCTTGAGCTGTCAAGCGTTCAAGAGAAAGAGCCACTGATAAAACTAAGGAAGCTAATTTGATGGAAAGTGATGATGAACCAACTTCTGCCGCAAAATGTACTTTGAGGATTAGACAAAAAGCTCAAACTGCAATTATCGATAGTGGAGCTGCTACTAGTATTATAACTAGAGCTTTAGTAGAAAAATTGGGATATAAAATAAACTGACTCTCAAAAATAATAGTAGTAACAGCAAATAGTATAAGAACTCGTTTCCTCAGAATAATTGATAATGTATCAGTAAAGATTGGAAAAATTAATATACCTACCTCTTTTCAAGTATTCGAATCAAAAAATGAGATCCTTATACTTGAAAATTATTGGCTCAGAATCACTAATGCTACTATGAGTTGGAAACAATCCATTCTTACTATTAAACGAGATGGAATTATCATGAAAATTCCCATTGCATTTACTAAAACAGCTAAAGTTTTGACTTAGAAAGCTGAGGATGAATATGAACATGAAGAATATGAGGACGAATATTTAGAAAAATATCCTATTTATTTATCTGATGATGTTGACTCAGAAAAATCAGAGTTAGATAATAAGTTAGGATTCAACCCATAGTCTGATCATTACTCTCCTATTTAGTCAGAAGAGGATACTGATGAAAATGAAGAATTAAGTAAGTAATCAGAAGACAACCCAGCTGCCTATCTTGCCAAAATTACAGGATATACTGTTAGGACTGATCCAACTTATTTGAAGCAATTAGGACCTTTAGATTTTCATTAGCAACAGACTTTTATGAATCTTCTAGAAAAATATTATGATATTTGTGCAAGAAGTCAAACAGAGATAGGACGAACGACTGAGATCAAACATCATATTTATACTAAAACAGCTATGCCAATTATTCAAAAACCATATCAAACAAATCCCAAAAATACAAGATTCTTGAACTAGAAGTTAAAGAAAATGGAAGAAAATGGTATAATTCGACCCTCCTATAGTCCATGGACCTCACCTGTCGTAATTGTAGGAAAGAAAGGAGGTGAAAAAAGATTATGTGTTAATTATCGAAAAGTTAACGCTGTCATAAAAATTGACGCATATCCATTACTAAGAATCGATGACTTATTGGATTCGTTAAGTAGAGCAAATTGATTTACTACCTTTGATTTAGCTAGTGGTTATTAAGTGTCAATGTATCCTGATAATATAGAGAAAACTGCTTTTATCACAGCAAATGGATTATACAAATTCTTAGTCATGCCCTTTGATTTAAACAATACATTTAGAACTTTTCAAAGGCTCATGAATTGGGTTTTAAAAGATTTTCTTGGATTATTTGTATCAGTTTATTTTGATTAGAGTTCTGAATAAGTTGAGTCGAGTTGAGTTTAAAGATCAATTTGACTTGACTCTCTTTTTTCGAGTTGAATTGAGTTGAGTCAAATTTATTTTATAAAATCTTTCAATTTGATTTGATTCAAGTTATATAAATTTTAAACTTGACTCAATTTGACTCGACTCGATTTTAACTCAATTTGACTTTGAAAAAAAATAATAAAAAAAAATAAAAAGATTGGGAGGGGGAAGAAAAAAAAAGAGCGAATAATTCATTATCGTTTAAGTCGAACAATTCATCATCGTTCTTCTTGAATGATAAAAAAAATTGTTCAAGTCGAACGATTTGTCATCATTCAAGTTAACTCAAGTCAACTCGAATCAAGTCAAGTTTAAA